CCAGGCTGAGTAAATCTCGCTGTGTCCCTGAGTAAGGCTTTGCCCCTGGCTGGAATCACTGTATGGACGGGCTGTGAAAAGTTGTTTCCGCCCCTTGTCTGCCACATCAAATTAGTATTTATTTGTATGACAGCAGCAGCTAGAGACCGGGGTCCCATTGTGCCAGGGGCTGTACATACACCTTGGCAGCCCCTGCCCCCAGGGGCTAACAATCGAAACAGACAAGACAAAGGGTAGGACAGGAAACAGAGCACCCCAGTGGGACTAGCCCAAGGCTACTGACAGAGCCAGGGATTAATCAGGGTCCCCTAGTCCAATGTTCTAGCCACTAGGCCATGCTGCGTCGCAGGGTGCTCAATTAGAGGTTGACCTCTCTGCTGGAGACGAGGCCTTAGCTGTGTTAATGAGGGGGAATAAAAACGAACCGATTGTAGCAGAAACTTCCTCCCAGCCACAAGTCCCCTCCGTACGTCCAGGCATGGGATAATTGCTTCTCGACGTCCCGCTCAGTCTCATGGCTTCCAGAATCCCGGAGCCCTGGCTCGCTGCACTGACACCTTTGGACAGGGCGAGATCCTCAGCTGAGTGTTTCTGTCCCGACTAAAACTCGGGGGATAAACGCGATTCAGTCTCGCCTTTTACGTGGTGCAGGACAGGCCAGAGCTCGGAAGGTCGTTCTCGCCCCGTTTCCAGGAGAAAATAGGTGCCCCTGTGTTTTTACAGCTTGGCCTTCATAAATAGAGAGAGACGATGTATGGATCAAAGATAGCTTTGTGTCTTAGGAGAGTGAAGGCTCAGTAGCGTCACTGTATTTAGGGCTGGCTCAGCTTTTCCACTCTCAGCCTCTGTGCCAGCGTATGCCCCCCCAACCCCCCTTTTAAGGGCACACAATTTGTTTTGGGAAGAGAAACATTTGGGAGTTGAGCTCCTCGATCCTCTGTGGCCCTCGCCGCGCGACGCTGGCTGGGCGTGCCCGAGCGTTCTCCTCTGGAGAGCCGCATGCCCTAGATGGTGCTGCTCTCGATTTCTGTAGCCTGGCCGAGGAATTGTTTTGCAGCCAGGGAGGGTGGCCGGCGGCGGGGGAAAGTTCCTCGTTTGGGTAGTAGGAGGGCGGGTTGGAGGAGCGGGAAAGTGACTTGCCCAAGGTCACCCAGTGCAACTGTGGCAGACCCCAGGGGTAAACCCAGAACTCCTGAGTCCCAGCCCAGTGTCTTACCCTTAAGGTTCGTCTTCCTCCCAAAGTGATTAGGGCCTGATTCTCAGTTACCATCAACGTCTAGGGGAGCAATGCAATCCTCAGCACCCTCTGGACGCCAGGCCCTTAGTTGCTGTGCTGCCTCAGTTTACCTAGGTGTGAAGTGGGGGTAACATTGTCTTCATTAATGCTATCATGTTCCTTGAGAACCAGTGAGCAATCGCTGTGAGCGCTGGATTCACTCTCCATCTTCCTGCCAAGCCGCTGGGCACATCCTGAATGGACTGTGCAAAGTTTATTGACCCAGACGTTTTTTGGCAAAAAAGATTCCGATCTGGTGACACGGAAACATTTTGTGAATTTGTATCAATTTCAGCTAAGCCTTTAGCTAACTCCTAAAAACAACCCGAAAAAAAATCAAAATCTTCAGACATTGTTTCGATTTGCAACAACTTTTTGTTTCAAAATTTCCTTTCATTTTATTCTTAGAAAATGTAAAAAGAAAAGAAGCGCTCAGTGTTCAACGTGAAACTGACTTTTCCCCCAACTTTCTGATTGGCCAAAAATTATGTTTTCGGTTTGACTCAAAACAGTTTTTAAAAACAAATCAGACTTGCCGGTGAACTGAAAAACCGGTCGCTCACCGAGCTTTAATCCCAAACTCAGCGCGTGGCGGGGACCGCCTCATGGCTGAAATGCGCAGTCTCAGGCCCCAAGCATCTTCTCTCTGTCTCTGTCCCTCCTTCCCAGCAATGGTGACATTCCCTCGCTCCTGGAGCCGTGAGACTCCGGAAACATGGCAGAGCCCATGGTCTAGAGTCCCAGCCAATGTACAGCGGCGCCGGCCAGGGCGCAGGTACTGAAAAGCTTGTTCAGGACGTCAGGGACCGTAACTAGTTTGGTTGTGTCCGGTGTTTGGATGGAACTAGAGGCCAGACTCCAAGAGCAGGAAAAATCAGCCGGTGGATAAATAGGAGGTTCTCCCCGCAGAATCTGTGGAGCTTGGTAATTTTCAAACTGTTTTTGCTCCGTCCAGCTGGGCCGCAGCGAGTGAGACAGTTAGGAGCCTGCCAAACTGCCCTGGTGCGGTGCATCGCTGCGACAAGAAAGCGGCTTTGTTCACGGGCTCCACGCATGACATGCTTGCGAGATGGCTGCTGGGGCTGGGATTACATCATGTCTCGCGGGGGTGCTTCCAGCCTGACTGATGTGTCCCAATGTGGGGGCTGACGGGTCCCATGCTCCTGGGGTCACCGTCTTTCAGATAAGTCTGGCCCCTCCGTGATCGCGTTGTGCAACCATTGAGGTGTGAATCCCTGTGGCCTGGCTACATTCCAGTCGGTGTAACGCCATTTCTGTCTTCCCCACGCCGTTGCAGTTTCATCTGGATACAGCACACGTCTCCACTTCCTATTCTAAACCACTGGCGTAGCGATGTTGTGCCCTGTTAAACAGCTGCCGTGCTCCACCCCAGAGGTGGCTGCATTGCAGCAATGGGTGCAGGTTTTCCTGTCTCTGCTTATGGATTTAGGCACCTTTGGATGAAAGGCCAGAAAGAGACATGGGAGGTTATTCCTACCATGGGCACCAAGCTGATATGAATGGGGACGGAGATCAGATTCAGTGACGATGCAGGGTTTTGAGCCCCTTGTTTTTCTCTGCGCTGCAGGTGTTCCCTCTGCCATCCCTCCCCAGGAAGCAGCCCACAGTGCTTGTGGTGTGTGGTCCCGATCAGAACGGCGCCATCGGCTTGGTGTGCGCACGACATTTGCGGGTGTTTGTAAGTATCCTTAACAAATCACCCACTTCCTTCTCCGCCACCTTCCTTGCGCTCCTAGGGGTGGGTGGCCCCTCGCTACGGTCTCAGTACGCGAGAGGAGACTTGATCCCATGGCCTCTCGGTCCATGCTAGCGGCCGTGACAGAGACAGCTCTTTGGTTCCTCAGGGTAGCTGCCCCCGTTAATTCATTCATCAGAGGTTCTTCACCTGCAGTAGGAGATGCAAGGATGGGGACCTGGTACGGATCCCCGTTCTGCATCACAAGTTGGCCCCTGGCTCAGATCCGCAGGGCCCAGGGCGAGACACCCAGGGTCTGTTTGGGGGCCCAGGAAACTCTGAGACTGTTTCCTGGGGGACGAATCTCCACATGGCAAACTCAACCGGTGCCCCTGGCAGGACCCGGCCCCTCTGTGGGCTGCCCTCGCAGAAAGACCCAGGACTGAGTGGGTCACACAGACTAGACCCCTCCCCTTATCTATCCGTTCAGAGCTGAGGGGTGGGGGAGGCCCCCCCTTTCACTGTCTATGAGCCACCTGTTCTGGGGACAGAGGCGCCTTTCACCAGTGCTAAAACCCCCTGTAACAACCTTCCTGTGTTCCTGGAGCCCTGGGGCAGCCAGGGAAGGGCCTGGGGCAGCTAACCTGATCTTGCAATGAGATCCAGAGGGTGGAAGCTAATGCAGTTTGAGGGCTGCGGGACCTGAGCAGGTCTGATATCCCATCCACTAGAGGGCCTGTGCATTCAATGGGCCCGATTCTCGGCTGCTTCATTCCCACCCTGGGACACGCTGGGGGAGGTGGGACTTTGGGGTGGTTGAGGAACTGTCGCCACCGTTGTGCTTACCATGTTCTGAGCACCCCCACACCCCCAGAGCGAATGAGAGCAGCCCCAGGGCTGCTCTAATTTATGCTCTGCTCCCTGTGGCCCCTAGGAATGGGAGGATAACCCTAGTCAGGGTGCTATCCCCAGTGCCAGGGACTGGGCGCAGGGCTGGTGCAAAGCCTTTATGCCCAATGTGCAGAGGCATCACAGCACGCTCTAGGGAGGTGAATACCCCTTGTCTACATGATTGCACCCAGAGTCCGCCGGGTCCAGTTCTGAGCTAGAAGCTGGTCATGAAACTGCAGGGGATTCAGGAGCCGCTAAACACTGCCAGAGCTGACTGACAAATAAAGATCACACCAGCTAAATACAGCAACTCCCAGCGAAAATCCCGTGGGAAAGGGTCGGGCAGGGCGGGAGGGAATGGAGCCGAGAAAGCGAAGAAAAGAGCCCCGCGCCCCGGCAGCGAGAACTGTCTGACCGTGGCTTGTCTCCTCGGGGGGCCGTGGGACAGCGGTTACAAGGTCAATACGCTGCAGGATTCAGAAGGGGAAGCTGCTGCGATCGACGCATGAGGCTGTTGCTGGGAGCTCGCTGGCTGAGCGGCCCTTTCCCAGCCTGGACCGAGCGCTGCACCGCTCAGCTGTCTCCCTGCCAGATGTCACAGCAGCAGGGTGTGTGTGTGTGTGGGGGGGGGGGGCGAGAGGGATCGCTCTCCTGGTAAACGCAGGGGTGGCTTGTCTTTCCTGGCTCTCTCTCAGCCTGGGAAGAGTGGGGGGATCTGTCCCGTGTGATGCTGCAGTCTCTGTAAGCGCTGTCAGTCGGAGAGGTCCCAGCGTGGTGCAAAGCCAGGCAGGCCCAGCGGCAAACACTGAATGGGAGCAAATGCAGCATCTCCCTGGACGCCTGCTAACGCCACCCAACCGCTTTCCTTCAGCGCTCCCGTATCCCAGCAGTTGGGCGAGAGCAGCTCCTGCTCCATTACTCCTGGCTAACGCAGGCTAGATCATGCCAGGCCCCCAGGGAGGAACCATCTGGGCCCTGTAACCACCAGTGCCATCCTGCCATTCCTCCCCCCGATCCCTGAGGGGCTGTGGGAAGCCCCCAGTAGCCCACCCAGACAAGCCCCTGGGGGTCTGCCAGCGGGTTAGACCCAGCTCCTGCTTTCGATACAAAGCTCATCCACTTGCCTGCTGCAAACGAGACCCAGAGGCATGCCCGCATGTGTCTGGAAATGTTCCCAGCAGCCCGTTTCCACGCCCCAGAGGAAAGGCCAGGACCAGCACTGGACATGGTCAGGAGCCGGTCTGGTTAGAAAAGCCATCACAAAGATGTTAGCACTGCACCGTGCCCCCCTTCGAGTGCTTTGCAAAGAGTGATTAAAACCCAACTGCCCTGGGGAATGCAGGATTCTCCCTGCTCTTCTAGTGGGGTGATGGAGAGTTGCTCAGGGAATTGCATCTTCCAGTGGAACCCAGGAGTCCCGAGTCCCTTCTCCATAGCCACAAGACCACCCCTCCCATCCCATCTGCTGTGCCAGTCTTTCCGAGTGGGCCGTCCAGCTGAATAACCCCTCTGCCGTTGTTTGCTTAGTGCCCCGGCGGTTCCGAGCCAACACCCACTGGGCTCAGGGCGAATCTTTCTAGTGTTCGCCAGGAGCGCTGGACTGGGCCGCAGGAAGAAGTGGGTTTGTTACCCACGAAAGCTTATGCCCAAATAAATCTTAGTCTTTAAGGTGCCACCGGACTCCTCGTTGTTTTTGTGGATACAGCCTAACATGGTTACCCCTTGATACTGGGTCCCAGGTGGTTTCCTTTCTGCCTGTGGCCCTTTAAGATGCTGCAGGAGGGAGGGGGGATCAGAGGACCAAAGGTGCTGGGTTGCGTGCAGCTGCCCGTCAAGGTGGGGCAGAGGAAGGAAGGGGCTGGGGTGGGAAGAGGCGTGTTGGGTGCGGGTTAAAGCGTTCTCTCCTCCTCCCCCCTCAGGAATACGAGCCGACCATCTTTTACCCCAAGCGGTCCCTGAATTCCCTGTATCGGGATTTCACCACCCAGTGCGAAAAGATGGACATCCCCTTCCTCTCGTACCTGCCGACGGAGGTGAGCGACGCCCCGGTGGCACGGAGCGCGTGGGCATGGGTGTGTGTGCACATGCAGTTCCCCTCCCCTTTACTCTGCCCACCGAGCTGGCCCCCATTCAGATCCAGAGCATGCGCTCTCCAGCCACGTCGGAGACACGAGCACCCGACCAGAAACCCAAACTCAACAGCCAAAGTTCTTCCGGGGTTTAGAGCCGTCAAAGCCTGGCTTACGCTAGTGCTGGGTGTCGGGGGGACGGGGAGGGGGGGGAGAGCAGGTTTCTGCAGCCTGGCACAGCGGGGGCTTTATAGGCACTGGGGACCTTGGGAGACTTTCAGATGGCCACCCGGGGTCTCATACTGGTGTGAGGAACCCAGAGGCTGAGACTAGGGGGAAAAGCAGGGCCCAGACTAGATTTGAGGTGTATTCCGTGCGGGGACGGTTTTGGCCTTTTGTTCAGGCATCTGATCCCAGCATCAGGGTTCCAAAAACTCCAAACGGCGAGTATAATCCGCTCGCTGCTGGAAAAGGAATTACTGAGTCTTATTTCCTACCGGCCCAAACAAACACTGCCAGCTATTTTCTTCTTTAAACATTGGACTCCGTTGGAGGAATGTGACCTCAAATTACTGTCCCGCGTGGCTCCATTCCACTGTATGGGCAAGAGCACAATTGCTTTCAAACCCTTTGGGGGTTTGGTCCCAGTTTCTGCCGTAGGCTCTGGAAATGCACAGTAGGAGAAGTTTCTCGTTACAGCAACAATAAGATCAAATACGTTCAATTTAAAACCTATTACAACCTGGCTCCTTTTGGGGGGCAGTGTTTTTTTAAGCTGTGCCATAGAAGTTCAGCATCAGGACAAAAAAAATAACCCTGTAAAAAATTTTTTGTAAAGACCTTGCTTCCGGCCAGCACAGCAGTTTTTCACTCTGACGTCCTGGATGTTAGCGGCTTTTACTAAACCTCCAGGAGACCAGGCCTGCTAACGTTCATCTTGTGAGTTCTTCATTCCGGGAAGCCACCTGTCACTCCAATGCCTGTGGTCAGGCCTTAAAGAGAAACCTCCACAGGAGAACGATAGGAAATGACACAAATGAATCAAACTGGGCTTTCTTCTGCACTCAGAAGTCCGAGCGCTCTCTCTTGCTCTGCCTTCGTCTTTGGAGACGTCCCCAGGGGAATGTTCCTCTTCTGTTGAGGGCCCCGGCCACTTGTGAGCCTTAAAGATCCTCTGGCAATTTTTGTAAGAGCTGGCCAGGTGTGGCAATCTCCAGCTTGCTTCCCTGTAGCCCCCCTGCCATTTGCATTGTGCATGGGATTATCTGCACTTCCTGGCCTAAACTGCAGACGCCATGTTGCTACGTGCAGTTCGACAGCTGGAGCCGGATGGTCTTTCCTCGTGCCCGTTGGATGACACCCAGCCGGGGGCAATGGCTCCTGGTTACAGCTTCTAACCGAAGCCAGGAGCTGCAGCCACCGCCTACCGACAACCCCACCCGGCCTGCGGCTGGAGCGCGCACCCTTAACACTGAACGACGCTTGATACAACCCACGGGGGCCTACACCTCCTGCCAAGCCACTTCCCGAGCCCCCTGCGATAGAGATCAACTGCCCACAGCTGTTCTCTCTCCCGCGCGCCGGGCTGGCCAGACTGTTCCTAGAGGTTGATCTTCAGTGCTGGGCTGGGCAAAAGTTCCCAGATAGTTTGGATGGCAGCTGGTCCTTTACTCTGCATCCAGGGCGTGTTGTAGGGGGACACTTGGATGCGGGAAGAAGGCTCTGGGAGATGCTTCTCTTTCTCATTGAATGGTACTGTCAGTCCTTCGGGGCCTTGCGCTCTCACGGAGCCAGCGTGCTAACAACATCTGTCCCGTCTCCGTAGGTGTGGCAGGGAGAGGGGAAGTGCCCACGGAGAGCTCGGCAGGCAGAGGGGAGGGGGCCGTGCTCCAGCATGAGGGTCTGTACAGGGAGAGCATGCGGTGGGGCAGCCAGGACCCCGAGTGCACTGGAGCGGGTGCACTCGGTCACCTGGGCCTGTGTGCGCGGGAGTCCACGGAGGGCCTGTGGGCTGGACGAAGCCCCCCTGCCGGCCGGGTGCCGTGAGGCTCAGGCTGGCAGATGGGGGTTTCTGACTGGGTCCCGCCCCCTCCAGGTCCAGCTGATCAACGACGCTTACAACGTGGTGATCGACGCCATCCTGGGAGCCGACGCCGAGCCGGGGGAGGTGAAGGAGCCGTACACCAGCATCTTAGCCACCCTGAAACAGATCCGGATCCCCATCGTCAGCCTGGACGTGCCCTCAGGTGGGGATCCCAGAGCCTCCCCGGGAGACCCCTGCCTCTCGCCTTACCCTCTCCTGTTGGAACTTGCTCTCCCCATCCCGCACCCGAGAATGCTCAGCCCTGGTTACCCGCCTTTCACCACCTCAGGTCCAAGTGGCTTACTTCGCCCTCCCCTTCTGCTCCTCCCAACCCCCTCTCTGTGGTCCCATCCCCTTCCTGCTTGTCCTTTCCTGCCCTGGGAGTAGCCGGCAGGATCCGATCCACCAGACAGCCCTGACCCAGCCAGGGTCTTTGTCCTGGGTGGCAAAATTCTGGGCACAGACACAGCTGTAACAATAGGAAGGGCTGATCACCAGCCAACCCGATAAGGACCCCCCCCACACCTCCTGCATCTCTCTCGAGCCTCTCTGCAGCCAGGGACCCCTGGGGTTACTGGTTACGTGCTAAGAACAGCTTCAAGGAGAGCAAACCCCAGGACAGATCAGTCATATCATCGTGTGCATGAGAGCGGAGGATGGATAGGACTCTCCTGGGTTCTGGTCTCAGGTCTGGGAGAGAAGTAAGGTTTAGTGGGTTAGTGCCTCAGTTTCCTTCCCTGTGTAGACTAGGGAACATGGTCTGGGCCTCCCGAGTCTCGTGAGGCTAAATTCATAAATGTTTGTAAAGGGCCTTGAATTGCAGACTGAAAGCCACTGGTGAACTAGGACTGTGGTTCTCAGCCTTTTCCATTCCGGGACCTCCCCTTTAACTGGGACCTCGCTGGGGCCCCTCCCACGCAGCAGTGCAGGGGGGAGCCCGGGAACTGGAGCGCTGAGGAGAGAGGCAGATTAGCGGGAGCGAAGCCGGCAGTCAGCACTGCTTGGTCTCTGCTGGGTTAATGAGAGATGTTCAATGGGGTTTGTAGGAGCAGCTGAGCGAGTGGCCCCAGGAGTGCAAGTGCTGCTGTAGGCCTGGGTTCGAATCCTGCCTCGGGCGGGTAGTGAGAAGCGAGTCCAGGGTGGGATCCAGCCACAGGGGGATCCGCTCACGTTACAAAGCCAACCTGCAGCGTCTTTTGGGGGTGCAGCTGATCGGAACGGGGGGGGGTCTGCCAGAGCTTGGAGTGGGCACCTTGCACAGTGATACGCTGGAGCTTATGCGATCGGACGCCCAGCCTCCATGGGCGCGCACTTTCCCACCGTGTGACATGAAGGAGGGCGTGGTGTGTGTCTGGGATCCAGATGAGCTGCTGATGCTTTAGCTTCCGGCGTGGCACGGAGACAGTCCCTTCTCCTCCCTACGAAAGTGACCTAGCTTCTCCTCTGGGGCTCTGACCCTGGGGAGCATTTGAACCCTGTCTCCTGCGTGCCAGCTTCCCCTATTCCTGGGTGTCCTTCGCTTGCCAGCGGCTCTGGCTCCCAGCTGAAAGGGAGCTGCCTCGCGATGCATTCAAGGCATGTGTAATAAATACTACGCTCCCCAAAGTGAGACATGATGTAATTTCGTGTCTGGTGGCCGGGCCTGGTATTGCCATCAGACGGCAGCGAAAACCCCTGCGCTGCCCAGCCAGGGGAGGAACAAACAGGAGCCCTGGAGATTTAATGTGCAAATTCCCACCTAATGCCAGGGCCTGCGTGGGAGAAGCCGTGCTGGCTCTGCCCGGCCCTGCGTCCCCTAGGCGGGCCGCTGCCATGGAGCGGAGGGACACACGCCTCACTCCTCAGCTGAGTTGGTACGGCGCTGCAGAGCTCTGCTAGTGCCCCTTCCACTCTGTCTGCTGGGTTGTGGGTGCGAGACCAGCTGGTGTGGGCAGAGGAGACACTGAGTTCATTAATCTACCGGGTGGGATGGAAACAGCCACCCTGCTGCTTGGCATTCTGCATCCGGTTATTTATTTGTATAGCACTGTTGACGGGGCATCGCAGCTCACTGACCCTAGCTGAATTCCAGCCTAGGGGGAGGCATTCTGCCTCTCTCTAAATTCCCTGAGTGGCAAGAACTGGATCCGGCTTCCTTCTTTGCTTCCTCTCCCGCCGCGTTGCTGTGGGCCGGGCGCACAGCTGCTGAGTTCCACACTAGAAGTGGCTGCCTGTCAGGCACGAGAGACTCGCCAGAGCACACAGTGTCCCCTGATCGCTCCTGAGGGGCACAAAGGGGCTCTTCACCCAGCCGAGGTGTGATGGGTTTGGTCACAGAAACCCCCTTGGGACTGTCACATGATGTGCTGAATTTACCTCTGAGTCCGTTTTCCCTGCCAGCTTGGGACTCCAGAACCCTGCCTTGTGGAGCCAGACACGCCAGCCTGCTGCAACACAGACCCAGGTCTGGTCCAGGCCCCCAAAGCTGCAGACTTTAACCAAAAACTTCCCCCCCAGACCTCACCTTGCACGCAGCTGGGCTGTGGGGTGTCCCCTTTCCCCACCTAACCCCTCCCTCCCTGTCAATGCCGCTCCTGCCCTCCCGGCTTGCCTCTCACCTTTCCTTCCTCTCCTTTGCCACGGCAGGGTGGGACGTGGAGACGGGAAACAGCGAGGGAATCAGCCCTGACGTCCTCGTCTCCTTGGCCGCGCCCAAGCAGTGCGCCACCCGCTTCCTGGGCAGGCACCACATCCTCGCCGGCCGCTTCCTGCCCTACGACGTGCAGAAGAAATTTGAGCTCAACCTGCCCGAATACCCAGGCACAGAGTGTGTGGTTTCGCTTTAAGGCTCTGGGGGGGGGGGGGCGGGGATGGAGAGGGGAGTTTGGGGGGGGGGAGGAGAGGAAAAGCCACCCAGCTCCTCCATAATAAAAAGGCTTCAAAGCGTTTTGTATTTTTTTGAGCAGCCAGGTGACTCCCTGCTGGGATGCTGCGTCCTGGCACCAGGGCCTGGCTTTCCAGCCAGAGGCCACGCAGCTCCCAGGGAGGGCGTCTGCTGGCAGGAGGGCCTTGGGCATCTCAGGCCACCGTGACCAAGCCTTCATGTTGATCATTTAAACTCGGGGCGGGCCTAGGGGATCAAAGGCAGCGCTGAGCCAAACCCCTCCCCTCGCGTGGGTCCCGCACCCCCGGCGTCTCAGCCCAGGGCGCGGGGTTGAATTGTGGAGTCATAGAGGCCGCTGTGTCGTTTTGCGGCAGGGCGAGGAAGGCCGGGTGGCTTGTTCCTGGGCTGCAAGGAACTCAGATACCCCAGTGACGGGCACCCATGTGAGTGCCTTGCTGGATAGGTCCCTCCCAGGCGAATTGCTTCCCCAAGGCAGATGGAGGACGTAGGGCAGGAGGAAACGTACGCGCGGCCCCTGGCAGGACGGGCCTAGCTGACCTCACCGGCCTTTTCCATCACTCCCTGATCCACACGCTGGGATTTATCAATGCCCTTTTCACAGGAATCCTTGGTAAACAGGCGCCCGTGGAAAGAGCCGAGAGCGGCAAAGCCGGTGGCCCAAGAGGAAGGATCAGGTAGCGATTTCCTCCAGCAGCAGTTAGTCCGGCTCTCGCCCCGCGGGCCTCAGCCGCTGGCCCTTGCGGGGTCAGGCCGCTGCTGCTCTTGTCGGAGATCTGTCTGCCTGTGGAAAGGGAAGGAAATGACCTCCCTCTGCACTTGCTGGGCCCGGGCGGTAACCGCCCAGCAGCCCCTCAGCCAGGGAACAGGCCTAGAAGAGTTCCGTGCTGCTCTCCCCAAGCTACCAAGAGCTAGGGGGCTCGAAGTCCCCCACCCGGGAGGCCTTGGAGCCGGCGGAATGGCTGGGGGGGGGGGTAACCACCGAGGAAAGCGGAGCCGAGGCCGTGGGTTCACGGGCTGGTCAGCACTGCCCTGCTTAGTGCAGGGATGGGCGGTCCAGTGCATGTCACTAGCAGAGGATTCCCCGAGAGGTAACAGGGACCCAGGCTAGGACCAGGGGCACCAGGCTAACCACCGCAGGCAGCAGTGACATGGGTGGCTCCTGCCCGAAGTGGTGGCCGGGGCTGTTCCTAGCCCGGCTGCTTTGCCATGCGGGGAGAAACCTGCATTTTTCTGCAGATCAGTGAAATCTCCAGGGGCCAGATGCCCCCCCCCCTCGCCCCTCCCCGCATCATCGTCCACTTGTTCTGAGCAAAAGCTCTTTGTTTGCAGCAGCTCCCGGTTTCCAGGGGCAGGGAAATGACCCTTAGGTGTCAGCGTTCCCTTTCCACGTGCAAACTGCCCTGGGCCCTGGCCTGGCGAGTGTGTTCTCTGAAGTAGGAAGCAGAGTAGAACTGGGTGAAACCGATTTTATTACCAGTGCTTAGTACCTGTGAGCAGCCTCCCTCCCTGTACAAAGCAACAGAGGGTCCGGTGGCACCTTTAAGACTAACAGATGTATTGGAGCAGAAGCGTTGGTGGGTGAATGCCCCCTTCGTCAGACGCAGTCAGCGAGACCCAGCAAGAGAGGAGGACCCGCTGCTGTTTGCACAGCGAACGCTGCATCCCAGCTCAGCTTGTTCCGCTTATGTTCGTACATTTCTTCTGTACGACGCTGTAGCCTGGCTAACGGGCGTTGTTGCTGAGTGGGTGCACGGCTCAGTCGTGGGGCACCCCCACAGCCTCCCCAAATCCAGCCTGATATGCTGCCTCGGGGCCAGCAGACAGCGGCAGCAGGACCTGCCCCCCCGTAGCCTTTAAGGTGGGGTCTGGGGTGAGTCACACGGCCTGATTCTGCACTAGGGCAGCTAAGGGGCGTTTTGTCCTTGACCTTAACGGAAGCAAGATCAAGCCCAGAGCCTCCCTACAGCTTCCTTCTCCCCAGGGGCATGAGGCAAGCGACTTGCTTCAGTGGCTCCACTGGGCCACAGCTCTGGCCTGGTTATGCGCCCCTCTCCCCCAGCCCAGGATGCTTTGGCCACGACCCCCATGGACTCTCGCTTTTCTGATCGAGGCCCTGTCGAGCTGTCTGGACGCTGGTTCTCCAGCTCCTGCCTTTATCTCCCCTGACCTGAGCACGCCACTGAGCCACAGGCGGGAGGCCCACGAGCGGCTGTGCTCTGCCAACCTGCCATCCTGCCGTCCGCGGAGGTCACGCGGGGTAACCTGCAGGCTGGGAAGGGCGAGCCAGGGGAATCGTGTGTGTGTGTGTAGCTAGCGCTGTCCTATTTGAATGAGGATTATCCATGTCAGTGACGGCAGCGTCCGCCCCGCAGGGGGAACTGAACGGCCTAGACTCAGGGCCAGGCCTTGTGTGGCGGAGCACAGGGGGCAGGTTGGTCCCTTGGGATTTGCGCCCGCGTGTGTCGAACGTTTCTGTCTGTGGGCTCCGGGAGCTTCGTGGTTTGCGCGCAAACAGAAAGCCAGGGGAGAACGCTGCTAATAAAGATGGGCTTGGAACCGACCCAAGGCGTGTGGGCTTTTTATTCAGCGTGTCAGCTGGGTGTTAAGAGCTGCCTGGGGCCCTTCAGACAGAGCAGGGCTGTCAGTTCCACTCGGGCTGTACGAAGACGTGGGCTGCCATTTGAAACCCTGCCACGCCTCTGCTCAGCCCTGGCTCCTGCACCCTGAGGTGCACCAGGGCTTTCCTGTCGGGAGAACCATTTGCAGCTCATTTGGAAATGCCGGAGTAAGACTGGCACGGAGGGAGCTGTGCGGGAGGGAAAGCTCGTCCCTAGACGCCGGTGAAACGTCTCCGGCCGCCTATCGATTGGCAGCTGTGCCCAGCCACGGGACGGGAGCTTAGGAGTCAGCAGTTTCTGGGTACCCCTGAACAAAGAGCCCCAGCCGAGCCTGGGGCACCCACTGTGCTAAATACTGCACAGACCCTGACTGAGACAGGTCCCCATGGGGCTGGATGCTGCCCAAAGACATCCCCTGTACTGATCACCTCGTGGGCGCTACCATTAGTGGAGGGGGAGTGCTGAGTCTCCCCATGGAAATACTGCGATGGGTGTGATCCGAAGATACACCTCCCAGGAGGTGGCTCTCCAGGAAATGACATATCCTGCAAGGCCAGAGCCTCAAAAGCAATCCAGCCCCTTTGCACTGCATGGGGGGGGGGGTGAGTGTCAGGAGTGGGGTGCACAGTTCACCTCTGCTGGGCCAGTCCTCCACCCGCAAGGACCATCAGTCAGAGGCGTAAGTCAGAGCAACCCCAAGGCTGCTCTAACCTTGCGGGTCAGGTGCCAAGTGGCACTTGGACACTGAAAGAACCTGGTCCCTGGCATCGCCAAAAGGCTGAGTGATCGTGGAGAGGGTTGTTAGCCAGTCAGTCCTACCTCTGTGAAATGCGTCATCTCCAGATGTCTCCTGAGCTTGTGCATCTGCAGAAGGGGGCTGATCCATCTTGTTGCCCCCTGCCAAGTGGTAGCAGGTGCTGAGGCCTTGCAGGTTGGTTTCCTACTGGAGGAGAAAGGTCTATTTCCTGGGCTTGCAGGGGTGCTGCTATGCCCCGTTCCTCGCCCGGCGCTCTGCCCCTCAGCCCGTTGGATCAGATTTCTTGGAGCTTTGCGGAACAGGAGCAATTCCCCCATCACCGTGGGGGGGTTTAAAGTGCAGTTTGCTCTCAGGAACCTGACGACAGGCTCCTGGTGGCATCAGAGATTCCCAGCCCTTAAGGCCAGCAGGGGCTGTTACGGTCACCTAGTCCCACACCTGCATCGCCCGGGCCAACCAATTGTACCCGGGATTCCTGCATCCCGCCCGAACAAAGGGACTGTCGCTTTTCGGGAAACGACCCGTGCTGGTTTGAAGATGCCCAGGGACAGAGAAGCCAGTTTAATTTCCCTCCCTGTTCAAAAGGCGCATCTTACCCCCAGTGCGAATGGAGAATAAACCCTCTGCGTGGGTCAGAGTGAAGCCCGCCCACTCGCGGACTGCCAGCCCCAGGGGGTTCCCCATTGTGCCAAGAGTCGAGTTCTCCACCAGCCTGCTAATGCCAGTTCCTTCCCCTGGGCTTCCGCTTTGCCCTGGGCCCGTGCGTGGGAAGCACCGTCCAGGCAAAGCAGACAGATAATTGTGCCACGCGCGAGTGACAGCGTCACTGGTCCTGCCGGGCTGGCGCTGCCTGGGCACGGAGTGTCTCCCAAGGGACCATTGCTGGAGAAGTGGCCCGTTAACACCCTTCCAGTGATGGGGGGAAAGGAAGGAGGGAAGGAAAGCCTGTGTGTGTGTGTGTGTGTGTGTGTGTGTGTGTGTGTAGTAAAGCTCTGTGTGTGTGTGTGTGTGTGAGAGAGAGAGAGAGAGAGAGAGAGAGAAAGACAGTGTGTGTGTGTGTGTGTGTGTGTGTGTGTAGTAAAGCTCTGTGTGTGTGTGTGTGTGTGAGAGAGAGAGAGAGAGAGAGAGAGAGAAAGACAGTGTGTGTGTGTGTGTGTGTGTGTGTGTGTAGTAAAGCTCTGTG